TGTGGAGAGGTCTGCTGTTACCCTAATACTCCTTCCCATAAAAGTCAGGATTTCTTGTCTCTTGCTGCTTTAAGGATCTTCTCTTTCTTTGGAATTTGCAAGCTTCACTATTAAATGTCGAGGTGTTGAACGGTTTTTATTGATTTTAGGGGGGATCTCTATTTCCTGGATCTGAATGCCTGTTTCCCTTCCCAGATTAGGAAAGTTTTCAGCTAGGATTTGTTCAAATACAATTCTGGCCCTCTGGCCCTTTTGGTGCCCTTGGGAACCCCAATTAAACATAGGTTTTTCTTCCTCAGGCTGTCGTTTATTTCCCTTAATCTCTCTTCTTTTTCTTTTAATTGTTTGTATCTTTTTAACCTCAGTTTCCCTCTTTGCCATCAACTTGTCTTCTATGTCACTCACTCGTTCTTCCACCTTGTTAACCCTCGTCGTTAGGACTTCTAGGTTGGATTGCATCTCATTCAATTGATTCTTAGTTTCTGCCTGATTAGCTCTAAATTCTGCAGTCATAAAGTCTCTTGAGTCCTTTATGCTTTTTTCTAGAGCCACCAGTAGCTGTATAATAGGGCTTCTGAATTGGCTTTCTGACTTTGAATTGTAATCCAGATTTTGTAACTCTGTGGGATAGAGGACTGTTTCTTTCTTTTGAGGTGAGGTTTTCCTTCTAGTCATTTTGCTTAGTGCAGCGTGGCCAAAAACAAGTCGTATTGGGAAAAGGAGAAATAGAGAGAGAAAGAAGGAAAGAAAAGAGAAAAAGAAAAAAGGAAGAAAAAAAAGAAAAAAGGAAGAAAAAGAGAAAGAAAAAGAAAGAAAGAAAAAAAGGGTGGGGGAAGCAAAGAGAAATCAAAAAAAAGAAAGAAAAGAAAAGAAAAGAAAAGAAAAGAAAAGAAAAGAAAGAAAGAAAAGAAAAGAAAAGAAAAACCACAGGGGAGTATCTTCTGATTCTGTATACTGTAAGTCCCTTGACTTCCCCTGGAACTGGTCTGTCCAGCTGGTCTTCTGGGGGAGGGGCCTGCTGTGCTGATTTTCAGGTGTGAGCACTTGGGGGAGCTGCTCTGCCCCCTGCCTGCTGCAGGGCTCAGTGGGGGCTGTTTACCCCGTGAGGCCCCAGGAGGAACAACCCCAGTGGCGGGGCCAGCTCTGCAGCCCTGGAGTCAGCTCCCGCAGTAACCCCGGAGCTCTCCGTCTGCAGGGCCTGGAGGCTCCGGGGCGGGGCCGCTGATCTGCTCAGCTCCCGGCAGGAGCGTCCTCGCTGTCCTGGGCCCTCCCGGCCTCTGCCTGTCCCGGGGGAGGCCGGATCCTGGGCTGTGTCCCGGCGCCCTGTGCTCCCGGGCCTGCGCTGTTGGATTCGCGCTCCCGCCCCGCAGCCCCCTCCGCGGAGCCGCCGCCCGAGCCCCTCCGAGCTGCCCCGCCCCGCCGTGCGCGCTGCAGCCCTTAGGGAGCTCGGAGCACTCTCCCGGGGCGCAGGTGTCTGTTAGTGTCCCCGGGAGCCCGAGGGCATCCCCGCCCTCCCGGGTCCTGCTCCAACTCCCTGCGGGCCCCTTTCCGCCCGGGAAGGTTGGTGCAGCTCCTGCTCCTCCGGGACGGGGCTCTCCTGTCCTGGGGACCCTCGCCCCGGCCTCAGCCCGGCTCCTCGCGGGGCCCCTCCCCCTCGGAGGCCTTTTGTTCCTTTATTTCTTTTTCCCCGTCTTCCTACCTTGATGGAAGCGTGAACTCGTCTCACTGTAGCATTCCAGCTGGTCTCTCTTTAAACCTCAGGCCGAATTCGTAGATTTTCAGGATGATTTGAAGATTTTCTAGGTAATTTGGTGGGGACAGGTGACTTGGGGACCCTACTCTTCTGCCATCTTGCCCCTCCTCCTCACTGTGAACTTTAAACATAAACTATAGATACTATAGATACTGGGTGATAATAACATGTCAGCAAAAGTTTATTTATTATAACAAATTTGACACTCTGGTGAGGATTTTGATAGCTGAAGAGGCTGTGTGTGTTGGGGAGCAAGGATATATGGGAAACTTCTGTACCCTCTGTTCATTAGGCTGTAAACCTAAAACTGCTGCAAAACATAAAATCCATTGAAAAAATAAGTCTAAGAAAATGCATCTTTGGATCAATTAAGCATGAGTTCATCATAGCAAGCCACTAGGCAAACTTGCTGGTTATTATTCCCAGAAAAACCAACCTGAATGGGTGCCCACACTGGTATTCAGTGACTTAAAGCTCTGTGTGCACACTGGTTTCCAAAGCACTTTTCCAGATCATCTGTCCTGTAAATCACAGCAGCCCTGTTAGGACACAAACAGGTAAGTCAGGTGAAGGGGAATCCCAGGCCAGCCCTGACAACCAAGTCTCACTTCCCATCCAGCAGTCAGCACCTAGCACCTTGACCCTTTATGAAAAGTCTCTGCTTCCTCTGAGCATCTTCACTTAATATTCATTCCCAGATGATCAGGGACAACCTGTCTAGTTGAGGTGCTTCCCCAGTGCCTAGTGTGGCAGACTCCTACATATGGCCAGCTCAAGGAGAGCCTCTGATAGAGCTTAGGGAGACACCCCCCAGGGTAGGAGGTAGGTTCTTGGTCAGGACTTCCTCTAGGGGCTTGGAGAGAAGCATCCGATTACTGTCTCCAGAACAGTTTCCACCAGTGTTCTCACTCACACACATACACTCTCTCATTCAAATTTACCTTTCCTCCTGGACCCCTAGATCAAGCATGACATCTCCTGGGGCCCCAGATGAAGGAGTTCTGAAAGCGTGTGCCACAGAAACCCAGGCGTACATTTATCAAGTGCTTGCTAAGTACAGGTTAGGTTCAATGGAAATATGGTCTTTTCAACCCATCAAACAGGACACAACCAAACATCTTTGTGCATATGCATAAATACAATCATATTTAATATAAAATGTGTGTTTGCACTATATATACTATGAGTGCAAGAGTGAAATAAATATGTAGTTGCATTCAAAGTATGTGCATAGTATGTCTTGATAGATAAATAGATATAGATAAAATGAAAACTTAGCTATTGAAAGAAGGAAAGACAGAAAAATGAGGAGTCAGCCTGACTACTACAGACTCCATGCTTAACAAAATGGTGCCACACATATAATTCCACATTCATTTCGAGGATTTGCAACTGTGCTGTGTATTCCAGGAAGGCTCAATTTACAACCTCACTCAAAATAAGAAACTGCTCTCCATGGGAACTTAGATCTTCCCCAGTTCTTCCATTTGCCCCCACTCTCTGGGCCTGACAAAGTCCCTCCGCAGATGCCCTCCACTGCTGTAGGACTCCGGTCTTACCAGGACCTTCCTGGAGCCTCCTTATGTCAGGAGATCCCCTGCTGCTCCACAGAGACACAATGAGTGGAGCAGCAGGTGCCAACCAGCTTGAGAAACTAGCAGAGCTCCTTTCTGGGATGACACAAAGCCTGGAGTTTGCACTCCAACGTTCTCCCCATCAATAAGAGAAGCAGCTTCTGAACCACAGGAGAAAACAGGGAGCTATTGGATCATTACTGGTCAGGATTTTCCAGAGAAACTGAACTAATAGGAGATATGTATGTACATGTAGATGCAGATGCAGATGTAGAGAAAGAGGGGATTATTATGAAGAAGTTGCTATAATGTAAATATTAATTATATAACATAAAGGAATTATATATTTATTACAGATGAAAGAGTTTTTCTTATAAGTAATTAGCTCATATGATTGTGGAGGCTGAGAAGTTGAGTCCCAGGAGGGCTGATGGGGTAAGTTCCAGTCTGGCCCAAAGGCAGGAGAAGGATATCCCAGCTTGAGCAGTTAAGCATAGAGACTGAATTTGCCCTTCTTCCACTTTTTGTTCCATCCAGCCCCCAGTGGTTTGGATGAGGCCCACCCACATCAGGGAGGGCAATCTGCTTTACTCAGCCTACTGATTCAGATGTTAATCCCAGGGGGAAACACCAGCACAGGCACACCCAGAAATGTTTGACCAAATATGTGGGTCTCCTATGTCTCAGCCAAGTTGACACATAAAACTAACCTTCATACAACCCTAACAATGGCATCAGGTATTTTTAAATCATTTCCCCAAATCTAATTTGACACTCAGATGAGATAGCCAATTCCCTTAGCCTTAGTGTGGTTCTTCTTGTGGCTGACTGTGGATACAATCCAAGGCAAGAAGCTATGCTGGCAGGCAAACCCTGACCCTGCACAGAGGAGGGGAGGGGGGCGAGGAGGGAGAGAGGCCAGCATAGGGGGTGTGTGAACAAGGAGTGACAAGGGAGCTCTGGCTCTCAGTGCTCTTCCACCAAGGATGAGGTCCTCAGTCACCTGTCCACTTCCCTTTAGCACTTAATGAGGCCATTAACCCATCCACTGCTGCCCACCCCAAGCCAGGAATATCAGGCAGAGTGTCAGGTCCTAGAGGATGGAACTCTGGTGGCCCAACGAGTTATAGGTTCTACAGGCAGCAGGTCTCCAGAATGTTCTAAGCAACAGCAGAATCTACAGTTCCCATGACCCCCTTGGGAATATAAATCTGATTCTCTCAGACCCCAGACTGTACACCCCACAGCTGTTTCTCACACTGAGTCTCTGTCCAGCACACAGAGCAAAAGCAGCAGTAGGAGAAGGAAAACAACTCCAAAAGCACTTTTTCCTCCACTAAGAGGCTTTCCATTGTCATGTGCCACTGACAGTCAGTTTCAGAGTAGGAAGGCCTTTGGGAAACACTATTCCAACAGCAGCAGCTTCCCCTGCAGGGTTCAGAACCAAGTTCACGGGCCACTGTCAGATTGCTTTCCACTGCACTCAGGTGCAATCGGGGTGTTGGTGCCTAGGGAGCAGTGCAGCCATCCAGAACATTGTGCCTGAAGACTTTCTCTGAAGGGACAATGTCAGACATCGAATGTCTGTCGAGGCTTTCACTGGGAAAAACAACCATACCAAATAGAAGTCTAGAGGTGCTCTACTTCTTAACTATGGTCCTTCTTTATTATAGGAATGAGACTCACACAGCATCTGCTAGCACTGGAATTGGGAAAATACCTGCCTGATTGATTATAAAGTTAGGGTCTTGCCTAGAGACCTTCCCCGTTGCCCCTTGCCTGGCTCCAGTTTAACTGCAGAACAACCATGAGAAGTGGAGTTTGAATTCCCCTCATAGAGAGAAGCTTGGACTCACCTAGAGCAGACCCAAGTGTATCCCAAGCACACCAGGCCCCAGAGCTGCTTCAAAAAGACCTGGGGCCAGGCCAGCCGGTGGTGTCAGACAGCAGAAGCAAGTGGCTGTGGCCAGCTGGACCTGCCCTGGCCTTTGAGGAGACAACTGTGACCACCTGCACTGACCCAAGCTGCTATCCCATCACTGCCCAGCAAACCACACAGAGAAGGTCTTGAAACAACCTCCCGTGTATATCTGAGTCACAATTCTGTGGTTGGCAGTTGGGTGGATGGCTGCAAGCAAGCTGGGGCTGCTCTCTGCACCAGAAGGCACCCATTCTCCAGAAGAGCCCCCACCCTCAGTCTTGCTCACAAAGCACATCGGGCTGGAAGGCAGAGCAAAAGGACATAGGCCTCTTGAGTCCCACTTTTACCATGTTCTATTGGCCAAAACTAGTCCTGAGACCAGCCCAGAGTCTGGAGTAGGTGTATAAATATGAAGAAAAGGCATGGGCAGGGTGTTACTGATGGTGCCACTCTCCACTTCAGGCCAGCATCTCTACACACTCAGCCTCTGGCCTCTGGCCTCTACCTCAACCATAGATCAAAGGAGGTAGTTGGATTCAACTGTGTGACAAATCAACCTATCAAAGGAAGAGGGTCACAAATCCTGGAACCCAGTGGACCTACCCCAGGTGATGTGATAGGATCATCCAGAGCAGTTTTAAAACCACCAGTGCCCAGGCGCCAGGTAAGATATGTTGAGTGAGAACTTCTGGGCTGGGTCAGCTAGCAAAATCTCTTGGAAGACAACCCAGGTAACTCTAACAGGAAGCCAAGGGATGGAATTGCAGGCCTGGCCTGAGGAAAGCAAAGAGCTCTTTCCCAGCCTGGCCACCCCTTAAAATCCCACAAGAACTTTGTAAATCCCATTGCCCAGGCTACACTGCAGACAAATAAACCAGAGCCTCTGTGGTGGGTTCTATAAGCTCTCCATGTGATTCCAGGGGACAGCGGTTCTAGGAGCTGTTCTGAGGAGCTGGGAGTTCATGTTAGTCTAAAGGTGGCAGGAGTATTTTTGTGGTACAGCAGCCCAGCCTTCAGGCATATACTGAAGGCTGGGCTTTTCTAGAAGGAACCTCATCTAATTTTCCTTTCCTAGGAATGCTCCCCAGCTGTGCCCTGCACCCCATCACTGGCACGCAAGCCAAAGCTCTGAACTCTGCTGATGACAAATGACAAGAGCAGTGATTAGGACAATGTCCCTTAACCATCACTCACTTTGGATCCAGTTTTAAATGCCTGCTGTTACTCATGGGAGAGACCAGAAGAGCTCCCCCAGGCTTCTTCTTCTGGGAAAACCACTGGAATCACTTGGCTGGTGTCATCTCCCAGGTGGGGCGTGGGAGGGGGGAGGGAGACAGCCATGTAACCCTCTTCTCAGCCACATGTCACCTCCATCTCCAAGGCAGCCAAGCCCTGGGAGGGAAAGCATATGCTTCCAGAAGGCAGCTCCCTAACATCAAGCTGCTCATGCCTCAGCACCACCCTCCTCCTTCCAGTCCAGCCCTGGCCTCCCCACCTCAGATTCTGCTGTGGGAATACAGAAGAAGGAACTAAGGGGACAGAGCTGGCCAGAGGTCTTGCACAAGTACAGAAAGACACAGGCATGCATGTGCACACACAACACATATGTACACACATGTTCATGTGCACACACATGCACACGGACCCTGGTTTTGTTTGGATCTCAAGCACCCTCACTTACCAGGGGAAAAACCATACCCATCACCCAGGCCTGGTATTTTCTCTACATTTGGTCATATTGAGTGGTAGTGTCTTCTTGGATGAATTTAAAAGAAATCTGCAGGTTAAATAGCTACTCAGTCAGCTACCCCAAGATGCCCAAAGTTCCATGTCCACATTGTGGGGGCTATAGTTCCCCAACTCTGGCCTCACTTCAGTCCCCTCTTGACATTTCCTGACTTGCAGGCCCAGGGAATTGTCCTTGCCAGACTCCCCTGGGATTTTGCAGCTGAGTCTGCCAGTCCCCCACCCACCCCAGGACTCCTTGTTGCCTCTCCCATGTTTGGATCAAGCAATGCCAACTCAAGACAGAAAGACCCAGTAACAGGAGGCCCACCCAGTCCTGGGTCCTGTACTGGTGGGGCTCCCTAAGCACCCACTCTGATCCAGCCTCTGTGCTGGGGCTGGATTTGAGGTCCAGTCTCTACCATTATGAGGGCGTTTATCTGCAGCCCCGCAAACAGACTCTGCTGATGCAAGCAGAGAAGGGAGGATGCTGGCAAGTGCTGAAGAGGCTGGAGAAACTGGCTCAGACCAGTACAGGGACACAGGGGGTAATGGTCTCATTTCGGTCCTGGCTGCTGCCACTGCCACCCATCACCACCAAGAGTGAGCCCTGCAAACCCTGGCACAGGCCCTCACACCTAAAGTGCCAGATGTCAGAAGGTAAGGAGATGTGTCCTTAGCCAACTTGGTCACCCCCAAGTTTCTCTGAAGTAGAAATGGGGCTGGATGCCAGAAAAATGATACATGCCCCCCACACACACACACCCTAGGGCAAGCCATCTAGTTGCCTTGGACCTCAAATGCCTTATGTCAAGTGAAGGAAGTGATGAATCACTAGCTATGACATTCGGTAGCTTAAAATATATAAATAGGAATTGCATTTGTGAACCACCTTGAATTGTCCTCCAAATGAATAAGCACAGCATGCAAAGCTTTTAACACCTCACAGTGAATGGCTCCAGGACAGACCCACAATCCAACTTGGGCCATGCAGGGGCAGTGAGACTCACTTCGGAGTTTTGAATGAACTCTCAGAGGCAGACAGACTCTCTTGTCTAGATTAAAGGTGGCCACAAGGTGAGGCTATGGTTGATAGAGCAAAGTCCCCATAGAGCCTGAGAATTAACCACCGTGGTGGAAGGTACAACTAGAGAAGGAGAGAAAACAAGTGCAAGGAGGATTCAGATACTCAGCTCCTTCTCTCATTTCTCCTCTGTACACAGCCTCTGATCCAAGACAGCTGCTCCAGCTCCTGCCACCTCATCTACATTCTAGTCAACAGAAAAGAAGAACAGACAAAGGTTGAAAGCCAGCTGTCTTCAAGAAAGGCACCTGGAAGCCACCATATGGTACTTTAACTTACATCCAATGGCCTTGAGTTAATCATAGAGACTGCACACAACCATAAGGCAGGCTGAGAAACATCTTTACCCTAGGTGACCTTCTAAAATCAGGACTAAAAAAGTAGGGTTCTATTCTTATAGAAGGATCAATATTAGTGACAACTGGCCTCTTGGCTAATCATCACCTTGGCCAATGAGCCTGAGGGGGGCTTTCTCTGGATCTTAGGGCCATCAGCTTTGCACTTGCCTTATACCAGGAGGCCTGCCTACTGGCAAGTGCTTTTGGAAAACCTCTGTCTCATGCTTTCCCAGAGCTGAAATTCAGTCTCTAATCACCTCCTTGGGATCCTAAAGATAGAGCACTTGGGATGGAGAGACTGTTTCCAGGCAAAGGTTTCCATCTGCTTTACTGACCACTGGGACATTCTCTTGAATAATACTTGGCCACAAGACTAGGACTACAAAACCCCAAAACAGAACCTCAAGTCCTCATCGCTATGAGAAGACAGAACTATCTAGTCAAAACAATGGCTTAGTTATACAGATTTCAAGGGAAAGTTTCAGCTGGGCTTTTATCTTTTGGCTGGATGGGTGGGCACCCAGCCAGTGGGGGTGCCACAGGCTTGACCTCACCTCTGACCACAGCTGGGATAGTGTGACCTCCAATAGGCTCTGCCCTTATCAGCTTTGGGGGCCTGACTGGCTCGTGGAAGAATGGGGAGTAAGGCATATCATCCAGAACTTTGGGACTGGGCCTCTGCTGTCCCAGAGAGTCACAGGGTATAGAATCATCTTCACACCAAGGCTCCAATAACATGGATGACCAGGGCCCTGCCCTTGTGCCTGTGGTATCTACAAGTTCTACCCAACAGTTCATGGGGGCAAAGGAGAAAGCCTCAGCTAGACTTGTGTCCAAACCCTGTCCCTGGCCCTCATCTGCCCAGGGACTCTAGATGAGTGCCTCACCCTCCTGAGCAAATTGTCCCTGCTGCCCCAGCTCTGGACAGCCCCATCAGTCCAAAAAGTCAGATAGGAGATTCTACCTAGAACATGGGGCTTATCAAATCACCTTTCTTCTCTGAATTCAGCCCTCATGAAATAGTAGGAATTGTCAGCATAGACACCAGGACTCTTTAAAATGAGGGAACATGGAGTATAATTCATGAGCAATATCCAGACAACAGTCAATGTGAAGAATCCAATCCACCCACAAATAGCTGCTCTGACTGCCCTCCCATGGCACCAAGCTGACTGCAAGTATGGGCAGCTGGGAAACACACCCCAGATGCTAAGGGGCAACCTGGTGTGGCATTTAGGGGCAGCGCACATTTTGTTTACTGTTTGGAACTGCAGTCTGTTGGCAAGGATTCCATGAGCACATGCCACCCAGTTCCCTCTCCCACTCTGTTATTCTTCCCAACCACCCCCAGAGGAGGTCAAGTTATCCCTGTTTCACTGATGGAGAAAAGTCCAGAGAGATTCAGGAATGGCCCATGTCACAGAAACTGCATGTGGTGGGTGGGTTTTAGGCTATATCTGCTAACACTGCTCCCTCCTCAGCACCTAACTGCCCAGAGAACACCTGGCCCCACATTCTAGGTGATGACTCCCCACTGGCACTTTCTAGCAGGGCAGAGCCAGCTGTCCCAACCAGAAGGTTCCAGAATGGGTTCTTTCAGGGTCTCTGAATCCCTTCAGACAGGCCTCTTTACACTAAGGGTAGAGTGACACCCCCAGTCCCTGCTACACATCTCCCTTTCCTTCTGCACCTCCTCTGCTACCTCTAACCCACTCTTGGGGATTCTGGCTGTCAAGCCTGAACAAACTGGCCCCATTGCCTCAGCTGGCTAGTGTCCCCATGCCAGGCAACTCCATGGACAGAGGCCCTCAAGTGGATGGCCACCCCCACCCCAGGACAGCAGAGCTCAGTCACCTGAGTCACTTAGAAGGCTTTGGGTGTCAATGTGCCAGACTGACACACCAGTGGGACATGACACGCCAAAGGGAGGCCTTGACTGAGAAAGCAGCAGGGAGCCATTGAGGCAACCACACAGCAGGTGTCATTCCCCCATTTTATAGGTAATAAGCCAAGGGGTTGCAGAGTATAGTGACCAACTGCACCCATGCGATTGGAAGGTGACAAAACATGACCCCAAACCTTCTCTACAGAACCCCACTGCCACTCCAACCCACTGTGTTTCATATGCTTTATTTCTATCAACTTGGAAGTATAATCAAAGAGGTTAAGAGCATAAGATTGGAAATTGGAACAGATAAGCCTATTTCATCTCTCAGTGTATATAAGGTGTGTGATCATGAGTAGATTAATTAACCTCATTGAGCCTCAGTTTAGTAAGGGTAAAATAGAAATGAAAATTTACACACAGTGTAAATTACATGGACAACCCACGTCTGCACATTACGAATGGTGGTTTTTAAGAAGACAGAGTACCCCACCACCACCAAGCTGAGCAAGCCAATGTGGCCAGGGTGATTCTCCACAACATCTACATGACCTGAAGCCTGCCACAAAGAGGAGGACATGCAGGCCATAGCAAAGATCATAAGAACTGGGTAGCATTGACATTTTCACAATATTAATTCTTCCAATCCATGAGCATGGAATATTTTTCCATCTCTTTGTGTCTTCCTCAATTTCTTTCAGAAGTGTTCTATAGTTTTTAGGGTGTAGATCCTTTACCTCTTTTGTTAGGTTTATTCCTAGGTATCTTATGCTTTTGGGTGCAATTGTAAATGGGATTGACTCCTTAATTTCTCTTTCTTCAGTCTCAGTGTTAGTGTATAGAAATGCCACTGACTTCTGGGCATTGATTTTGTATCCTGTCACGCTGCCAAATTGCTGTACGAGTTCTAGCAATCTTGGGGTGGAGTCTTTTGGGTTTTCTATGTACAGTATCATGTCATCTGTAAAGAGGGAGAGTTTGACTTCTTCTTTGGCAATTTGAATGCCTTTTATTTATTTCTGTTGCCAGATTGCTGAGGCTAGGACTTCCAGTACTATATTGAATAGCAGTGGTGAGAGTGGACATCCCTGTCTCGTTCCTGATCTTAGGGGAAAGGCTCCCAGTGTTTCCCCATTGAGAATGATATCTGCTGTGGGCTTTTCGTAGATGGCTTTTAAGATGCTGAGGAATGTTCCCTCTATCCCTACACTCTGAAGAGTTTTGATCAGGAATGGATGCTCATGGATTGGAAGAATTAATATTGTGAAAATGTCAATGCAACCCAGGGCAATTTACACATTTAATGCAATCCCTATCAAAATACCATGGACTTTCTTCAGAGAGTTGGAACAAATCATCTTAAGATTTGTGTGGAATCAGAAAAGACCCTGAATAGCCAGGGGAATTTGAAAAAAGAAAACCATAGCTGGGGGCATCACAATGCCACATTTCAGGTTGTACTACAAAGCTGTGGTCATCAAGACAGTGTGGTACTGGCACAAAAACAGACACATAGTTCAATGGAACAGAATAGAGAACCCAGAAGTGGACCCTGAACTTTATGGTCAACTAATATTCAATAAAGGAGGAAAGACGATCCACTGGAAGAAAGACAGTCCCTTCAATAAATGGTGCTGGGAAAATTGGACATCCACATGCAGAAGAATGAAACTAGACCACTCTCTTGCACCACACACAAAGATAAACTGAAAATGGATGAAAGATCTAAATGTGAGACAAGATTCCATCAAAATCCTAGAGGAGAACACAGGCAACACCCTTTTTGAACTCGGCCACAGTAACTTCTTGCAAGATACATCCACGAAGGCAAAAGAAACAAAAGCAAAAATGAACTATTGGGACTTCATCAAGATAAGAAGCTTTTGCACAGCAAAGGATACAGTCAGCAAAACTCAAAGACAACCTACAGAATGGGAGAAGATATTTGCAAATAACATATCAGATAAAGGGCTAGTTTCCAAAATCTATAAAGAACTTATTAAACTCAACAGCAAAGAAACAAAGAATCCAATCATGAAATGGGCAAAAGACATGAAGAGAAATCTCACAGAGGAAGACACAGACATGGCCAACACGCACATGAGAAAATGCTCTGCATCACTTGGCATCAGAGAAATACAAATCCAAACCACAATGAGATACCACCTCACACCAGTGAGAATGGGGAAAATTAACAAGGCAGGAAACCACAAATGTTGGAGAGGATGCGGAGAAAAGGGAACCAACCCTCTTACACTGTTGGTGGGAATGTGAACTGGTGCAGCCACTCTGGAAAACTGTGTGGAGGTTCCTCAAAGAGTTAAAAATAGACCTGCCCTACGACCCAGCAATTGCACTGTTGGGGATTTACCCCAAAGATACAGATGCAGTGAAACGCTGAGACACCTGCACCCCGATGTTTCTAGCAGCCATGTCCACAATAGCCAAACTGTGGAAGGAGCCTCAGTGTCCATCAAAAGATGAATGGATTAAGAAGATGTGGTCTATATGTACAATGGAGTATTCCTCAGCCATTAGAAACGACAAATACCCACCATTTGCTTCGACGTGGATGGAACTGGAGGGTTTTATGCTGAGTGAAATAAGTCAATCGGAAAAGGACAGACATTATATGGTCTCATTCATTTGGGGAATATAAAAAATAGTGAAAAGGAATAAAGGGGAAAGAAGAGAAAATGAGTGGGAAATATCAGAAAGGGAGACGAACATGAGAGACTCCTAACTCTGGAAAACAAACAAGGGGTAGTGGAAAGGGAAGTGGGCAGGGGGTTGGGGTGACTGGGTGATGGGCACTGGTGGGGGACACCTGATGGGATGAACACTGGGTGTTATGCTGTATGTTGGCATATTGAACTCCAATAAAAATAAATTAAAAAAAAAAAGATCGTAAGAACTCGGTTTTCAGACCACACCATCTCAAGTTTCCTCTCACAAGTAAGAGTCAGAACCGGGAGAGGGGCTCTGATTGGAGGCAGTGTGAAGTTGCTCAGCTCACATGCTGGGATTCCTGGGAAGGCCTCTCAGGGCAGAGGTTGAGGATGCAGTGGGGAGGCAGTGGTATTTTGTCTGAGACTTTTCAAAGCGTATATGTGGGACCTAGACATTCTCTCTCCAAGTCCTACGTGTGTGTGCTTACCCTGACCTCATTAGTGTCTGCATTTATATCAACATCTATGTATCTGCTCTGTCTACACCATACATATAAGGCATAATGGATCTAAAATCTTTTATAATTCATGAGGACAAAGAAAAGAATCTTCTCAATGTTCTACCAGGAGAAGAATTTTAAAGAATCTGACATGAGCCATTCAAACAAGGCATGTCATCCAGGCTGGGAACATTCTCTACTTGCTCAGCCACTGCACCATGCCCTCCAGCCTCTACCACCCCAGAGAGATGCAATAATAATTGCAGGTATTTATGAGGTGCTCACTGTTCTAAGTATTTCACAAATATTGAAAAAGTAAACAACTAAAAATAGCAATTTTTCATATTGATGAAAACTCTGAAGAAACCCAGAAAGGATGATGTGATAGAGCTTCCCCTACAACTAGCACAGTGAGGGATGACATCTCTGAGAAATAAGACAGGGCAGATGAAAAAGAGCCAAGGACACAAGTAACTGGTAGGAGTGTAACACAGAAAGGAGAAGTGGCAGGTTCCAAAGCCCTGGGGCAGGAGCAAAGTGGCTGCTCAAAGACGGAAAAAGGCTGTGTTGCTTAGCGGGGAGAGAGTGTGGCACATGTTCCTAAATCATCAACAGGAGGCTTAATTCAGCTTTTCTTTTTCTCTGTTGCTTTGGATGATTTCCAAGAGAAGAAAGAAATCCCAATTCTATGTCCCCAAGAATGTAAGAAATTAAAGTACACACAGTGTCCACGCAAGGCAGAGAGTGCCAAGAGCTTTGCCTATAAGGACCCCACTAAATCCATACAACAATGAAGATCGTGATCTTAATTTCACAGAGGAGGCAACAGAGCTCCAAAAGTTAGGTACCTTATTCAAGGTCATGGTCCTAGAGGAAGACCCCAAATGCTTGCCCTACACTATGTTACTGAGTAGGCTAGTGACCCTGCAAACCTACATGCTGCTTTTTTCCATGAGATTACTTGGACAGACTTTCCAGTGACTTAGGAAAGTTTCAACTCTCATCCAGGAAAATCTCAGTCCTGTTCTCTCTGTGATCCCCTAACTGCAGACATTATAAACCCCTGGTTGGGGGCAGTTGTTTCCACTCCCTCCAGGGGCCAGGTCATACTCTGGTTCAATTACAAAGCCCAATATGTGGCTCAGATAGAACTGTCATGTTGCAGGATTCTGGAGTTCATTGTCAAAATTGTTTCATTGATTACCTTGGAGTAGGCAATACCATGGTAATTCTGGGCTCTGATTACATTAATAGCCAAATCCAGAAATAACTCCTAATGAGAAGAAACCCCACAATCTGGAACTGAGCACCTTTTTGAAAATGACCTTGTGCTTTTCCATCCAGATGCCAGAAAGCTTGGGAAAAGGGCTTGTAGGTTTGTAATTCACTTCTTTTGCTTCAGCCTAGAGTGTGAAAATTCCTTTTTTGAGATGAGCCACAGGTATCTGCTAGTGAAACATGATTTGTTTCTTTATAAGAGAGAAAATAGACCCTGGATCTATTTATTTTTTAGGGGCCTTTGGACACCACACCATCTTTTGGACAGCAAGTTTGAGACGCATTTCCAGATAATGCATCAGAAATGGATGGGTTACATTTTCCTGTAACACAGACAACTTTGCCATGCTCTAGCCCCACACTGTGGCCAGGTCTAAAAAGATCTGTGGCATTTATTATAACCTGTGTGCTGACCCTTTTGAGGGGTCAGCAGAGGACAGGGGTCACCTGGATGCTTGTCAGCAACCCTCAGATCTGTCGAGTTGCAGTGGCCCCAACCCTACATGGCACTGGTGATAGGCACACGAAGTGTCTTTCTGTTTCTGGCATCCCCAGCCCTGTACTGATCACGTTCCCAGTGTCTTCCCAACGAGCTATTTGTAGGTCCATTTCTAGCTCCAATAACCTGACTGGCAGCACTAACTCTGAAAATGATAGTAAAATTCTCTCCTGAAATCATCAAGGGAAGGAAAATTGCCCAGCCATTTTCTTGTTTGCAAAGACAATGAATTCTGGGGAAG